GGAAAATATAACTTTTTGTAATGTGTAATATTACCTTATTATTCTGCTTCAATCATTCTGTATGGATTTGTCATGTTTACTTAATCAGTTTTTATATATGTGCTAAATATTTTTTTCAAAAAGAAAATTGATATGTATATACTATAAATATGAAAAAAGCAGAGCTGTTGTTTTTATAAATGACATATATATTTGATCAAAATAACCCGGATCTGAAAAATAAGAAAATTTACGAAACTAGTTTTTAAATTTCGTAGTTTTAAAATTTCGTCTTGGCTATTTTTGTTATGAATGAAATACCCGATGATTCATTTTACATGACGTGATAGTTTCAATTTCCCAAATTGTACGAGTTTGACAAACAGGTTTGTTTAAAACGACAGCAAAGAATGCATGCATAATAATATGTATACAGTTACATCCGGAAGTTTTATTTTCAGGTTTTTTGCTTTATAAAATATTATCACAAAAGGTCATTACTGCACAGACAACATTTCATTAATCTATTAAAATCTGAAGGCCAATTTAATTAAACATAAATTTCATGGAAAGAACTTCATATCATATAATGATAAGTTTCATGACGATATTTGTAGATAACAAAAAAAAAAAAAAACGTTGTTTGGTCCTTATTTAAAGCTAATCTTTTTGGGGTAAAATCATTTAGGTAAATATTCAGAAATTTTGTTAAAAGTGGGACCAAGTGTTGCAATTATGTAAGTACGTGTTCCCGCGTCCGTCTCACAAAGTAACAAGGTGAGATTTTGTTATCACAATTCGCCTGGCGTCCGTACGTCCGTAAACCTTTACTTTTCATAAACCACTGAGCTAATTTCTCCAATCTATACAGGAATGTTCCTTGGGTGGTAACCTAGAAAATTGTTCAAAGAATTTATTTCCATGCAGAACTCTGATTGCCATGTCAAAAGAGCCCAAAGAGCTAGAGCTAAGCTATTAAGCATGAAGCATCTTCTAGTGAGTTTTTACCAAGTTTGGTTAAATAAAAGCTCTGGGGTCAAAATTGGCACGCCCGGGGGGGGGGGGGGTCGTTTATTTTGCTTATATGTATATACTGTAGTAAAACTGTTAAAAAATCTACTTTTAAAAAATCCAAATAGCTACAGCTTAGATATTAAGCATGAAACATTTTCTTATGTGTGTTTACCAAGTTTGTTCAAATAAAAGCCTGGGGTCAAAACTGGCACCGCCCCCGGGGGGTCATTGATTTTCCTTCTATGTACATTGCATATTATAAGAACTTATAAAACCTTCTTTAAAAACACAAATAGCTAGAGCTTAGATATAAAGCATAAAATATCTTCTAGTGAGAGTCTACCAAGTTTGTTCAAATGAAGGCCCTGGGGTCAAAATTGGCCCCACCCGGGGGTCATTAATTTTCCTTATATGTATATAATAAAAAAACTTTAAAAAATCTTGTTTTAAAAACCCAAAGAACTAGGGCTTAGATATAAAGCATGAAACATCTTCTGTCTACCAAGTTTGTTCAAATAAAAGTCCTGGGGTCAAAATTAGCCCCGCCCTTGGGGTCATTGATTTTCCTTATATGTATATAGTAAAAAAACTAAAAAATCTTCTTTTAAAAAGCCAAAAAGCTAGAGCTTAGATATGAAGCATGAAACATCTTCTAGTGAGTGGCTACCTTGTTTGTTGAAATAAAAGCCCTGTGGTCAAAATTGGCCCCAAGGGAGTTATTGATTTTCCTTATATGTACACATCTTTTTGGAACTGTTTTCCCCTTAGCAATTGCAACTAGTAGTGTTTTAAAAAATGCACTATTTCAGATACAAATATGAACCTTTTGATTTTAGTTTAAGATTTAAATTTTATGTCCGCTGTTTTTTTGTATCTTGTCATGGAGAGTTTCTATATTCAGGTGAGCGATTTCAGGGCCATCATGTTCCTCTTGTTATTTATATACGCACAATTGATCAGTAACAGTTATACTTATAACGTGTAAACCTGTGCTAGAATTCTGCCCAAGATTAAATGATCAAAATATCTATTAATTCGCTGCTACAAAAGGACTTGAATAAAATTATAGAAAACGACGTTCAATGAAAAGTAAGTGATACTGTTGCGCACGCGTCACTCGTTTTAGCCCTTGTTAGTTCCTTTATGAAGAAACAATCAAATTTTCGACCCATTGTAAAACAATCACTTTATATACTTTAATATAAATAAGGCACCAATAATATAGTCGTTCGAGGGATATCATTAGCATATACATTGTACTTGCATATAACTTGCAGTTGTTGGGGTCATAGTCTTGAAAACACATCAAAAGACGTCGGAAAGTAACATATAGGTGATAAGAAATATCGTCAAGGTTCGGGAACAACTATTTTAATGGTAAATAGATATAATTAAGAGAACTAAAAATGTTTTAAGTATACTGGCAACTACTTGCTGTTGAAGAGGCACAAGCTCATAAATTCTAGCAGTTGTCGGGTTCTTATCAAGAAACATATGTTCCTTATTTCAGTTATTTTAGGCATTAAATTATGCGAAATGAAAGAAAAAGGAAGTATAAAAAGTCATCAGAACCAAAACGTTTAACAAGTTGTGTTTCATAACAGTTACGTGATATATGTATCGATGCCTAAACAGAATTTGTAATAGGCTTTATCAAAAAATAAGTTCATACGTGTTGAAATTTAATTGGCCTATTTTCATAGGATTGTGAAAATGATATTTAAAACAGTTATTTATACCAAAATATTCAGACAAGAGAATCACCTAGTTGAATGATAATATGAAATTATCAACACTTTAATAATTCAGTTGATATTGCGACTTAAAGCTACATGCACCCAGATAATCCAAAATATTCCAATAAAATCAATCTTTAAAAAAATATTACTTAGAATTTAGGAATGTAATAATATTAAAGATTCAAGTAATAATTGACATGTTTTATGTGGTTAATGACTGACTTTTTCAACATTATGACTATACTTCTACTGCGTTACTAACGCAGTAAGGGCTTTTTTGCACATTTTTACCTCATTTTAGTAATTTACGTGAGTTGTAAGTGCAATTATTTAGGAGTAAATTGCTTCCTTTTGGTAACTTCACATTATTTTACGTTTTCACATTCTTAAAAATTTTCATGAAAATTTGCATAAATCTGGTGGCGTGCTGCTTTAAATCTATACATAAAAGGCAGACATTTTAACCTAGATTACTGTTTTAAATCCACAAGATAGGGAAGTCAACATGGATTAAACAAGCTACGGTAACATATTTAAAGCAAGTTTAGTTTTGCCTTTTGGTGAATTCGACCTTTGATTTTACACACTTTTTAAAAAATGAAAGTTATTTAAAATTGTTGTATTTACTTAAAGGTTTAAAAGTTCACATGCCTCGTCTTTTCTATAAAACACTTAAACAACAACAAAACATGTAACATTTGCGTTTGCCGTGACAACATGGACTTGTCATCCAGTAGTATTTTGACGTCCATATAAAATACTAAATCGAGCAAAAGAAGCAAAAGATGCCTCAGATAGCTGGCCAATTGGTCACTATCTTGAAAATATAAAAGTACACAAAAAATAAAAAGCAAAAAGCTTATGAGAAAATAAAAATGAAACGTTTCTGGGGCATGACGGATCTTTAATAATATTCCGACACGTAGAAGGCCTTAAACGATAATGTTGATTTGAACAAACATGATCCTCCATGCAACAACCTTGATTTACCTATCTTATCAGAGCATGTTACTGTAGTAGACGCAAGCGACTCGGTCGAAATAGATCATCTAAATGAATTCTTATTTGAATCAGTTGATGTCATTGAAGGACATCTTACAGACTTTTTCAATAAATGTTTCTGATATAGGTTATATTTCCCAGAAAAATAGGCTTACGGTTTTATCATACCAATCCTTAAAGGGAGACAGGCAAGTTTTTCTTCGTTTTGCATCTTTCATTGGTTATTCTGTAAATATCCTCAAAATGAATACACTAGGCAGTCATAGATATCCTTATAAAGAATAAAACTTGGACTTTACAAAATGTCATTTTAGTGTGGTTCGAGTACATACGATCATTTTTATATTTTGTCATTAATTTGCTTGAGTATCCCTTTAATAAGGAGTTAACATGGCCAGTACAATTATATTATTGGCAAAACCCAACCTTTGATATTTCGTTGGGGATATGTATGTATATATTTTTATATATGTATACACTTTTCAGAGATGTTTGCTTGCTCTATATACAGTTATTGTAAATTGATAACTACCATATCAACTTCGTTTTATATGTTTTTTCCGCCATTTATATTATTTAATGGCCAGTTCAATTTGAAAGTGCAGTTGTTATTCTTGAAAATTATTGAACAGAGAAATCTTCTTTAAGTCCAGCAAAAAATACAACAAATTGAAATGATAGCATAAAGAGGCGTTACCTTTAGAGTTATCTTGAACAGTTATTCACTGGTGTATTAACAAGAATTGAGAAATTGTTCGCAAGTAATTATATGCTACATGACTCCCAATTCGGTGATATATTTGCATGTATGATCTGATAGAGCACGTTCTTTCTCATGGGTACAAAAATCATTAGACTCCAATTATCGACAAGCAGTGTGGTATCATCTTTGATCAGATTGAAAACTCCTGAAGATATTTCGGGCTATGAATAATATATTTAAGTCTGGTGTTAAACTGTCTAACCTTTTCTCTGATTTTAATAAGCAATATTTTAATGGATAGAAGAAAAGGCCTTAATTATCTGGCATTTCTATTTGTCGACTTTAACTTTTTCTATAAGGAAATGTCCAATCAATAAATCAGGTATAGTTCTTTATGATAATTGCTGTTGATATGCGAAGCATTAGGAGTATTAAGGATTCTATAGCAGATTTACATACCAGTTTGGATTTAATGCTAGTAGTTAGGCTACGCTCCCTTCGCAGCTCACTGAATACACTCACGTTACTTAAGACTTGTAGTTAGGCCTACAGTTCACATCATCTAAGACTAAAATAGTGGTATCCCGCCATAGGGGAGTGCTTCAATGTAGTGACATGTCTACCGCGTAATTAACCAATCGGCATCGACTTAAATGAAACGTCCGATATCTGAATTACAAACGCAATAAACCAGTAAGGAAATTGACAACTTTACAAACGTGCATTATTTATACGCACCTAACTTACTTTAAACGAGATTAATTCAAGTTTTGTGATACATTATGATATTCATATTTTCAAGAAAATGAAAACTGAGTGTAAAAATGACGAAATAGGTAAGTTATGTACAATTTTCTACAATCTTAAATCGTAAAATATAATTTAATTACCTTTTTTAGTACGACTTATGTTTAATATAACAATTGTATATTGTTTTATTAACATCGATAATGCGTTTAAAAACATATTATCTTGTTATTGTCTTGTAAAAGAGGAAAAGAAACATACATGTATATATAACAGTATGTTCAAATAACTGTAGTAAAAATAAATTTTGTATGTAACATAATTGCATTATTTGAAATAGACGGCTCATTTGTCAGGTAGACTGTAAAATTGTAAACATGACTTATTCCCCTTGAATTTTCAAATCAGGTTTTATTTCTTGAATATAACAAAACAACAATATACTATGCAGTAGAAATCTGAGTGTAAATGGGCTCAATTTGCAAGCTTCTTCATAAAAAATGAAACTAACAGAATATATTCAATGTGACATGAATAGAAATATGTAAAAATGCGAAATTATCAATGTTAAAAAGATTTCAGATTAGTAAACCGAAAGAGTTTGGAAAACATTTGAAAAATAATACGAAAGTATTTTATGATAGATCAGTAGACGGGAAATAATATCAAAACAATGAGTTTGGAAAACATTAAAAAAAAATACGAAAGTATTTTATGATAGGGAAATAATATCAATACAATGTTGATACATTTTATTTCCGGGTTGGTTAAAAGGTTTCATTAAACCTCTTCATAAATATCTATAACTGTCAACAATTATAGCGGCATTTTAGTTTTAAGTAGATTTAGAAATTATTTGCATTGTTTGCAATTGTTAGGAGTGCTACATCCGATATTGCAATCTATTAAGAGTTGAAGCATTATCTTAAGGTAACAAAATACACAGACAATATTCAAATGTAGTTAGCTAAAATAAAATTTCAAGGAAGAAAATTGTAAAACTAATTATCGGACAGGAGAGTACGTGACTGTCGAATCATATATTTAATGAACCTATGTACAGGGTTTAAAAGCATCCTTAAAAAATCTAGAATATTCAGTTTTTATACTCTCTCTCCCTTTCTCCCCTTCCCCCTCTCCCCATATCTCCATCTCTCTCTTTTTGGTTTGTTAAATTTGCACCAATGTTCTTATATCTATTACACATTCATGCGATAAAAGTTAACTGCGACTGAAAAGTTTCTAATTTCTTCCTCGAACACTTATCGAAACTAGACAAGAATGCTTTAAATTGCCTGTCCTAGTTTGTTATGTCTAATGTTTCATATGCCGAATAACATTCATATTTTTCGTTTAAAACAAAATGTATTTATACATCACTTGTGTGTCATCAGTGTACGTGTGACATTGTAATAATGCGAAACGTATACGGAGAAGGAAGGAGAGTAATACGATCGGAACTTATTGAAACTTTAACTTGTAGTGTTTGTCCTTTAATTTCTTTTATAAATTGTAAATTTAATTGAGAATGTTAAACCATAATATCTTGAATAACCTTTATCTATTTATTCATAATTTTTATTTTTTTTATCCTATTTATATTTCACCTGTTCTTTGCCATTTGCGTTGGCTTCGGGTCAGCACTTGAGTCATGATGTTTGTGCAGATTCGTAGCCAAACGCAAATATTTTTAAACGCACTAATCTTTTCGGAATCACATTGTAGGCCACTGTCCAAGAACCAATAACTCTAACATGATTTTTTTTGCAGAATTAAATTTCCTTTACAATATATACTTTAAGAATTCCTGCTGTTGTATCTATCTCCACCACCATTTGTCGAATTCACGTGAAATTTGAAACACGTTTTTTTTTTTGGGGGGGGGGGGGGCAGGGAGGGGAATGTGGGATCTTGATTGACGGCCGCTGCCAAAAATTTATCGTCCTTATATCGAATTTTGAATTATACCACTTTGCTTTCATTCTATTACGATTAAAATGAGATACTTAAATTCCACATGTTGGAATAACAAGAAATTAATCGGGTACATATTAATCTATTCCAAGGATGACTGTTACAATTAGTTTTTATATAGTTTATTTATTTTTCAAGACATTTTTACGTTTATAGATCAAGTGATGTAGATTTAACAACTGGAGAAGTACAGAAAATGGCATCTAGTGATCAGATCTTGTTTGAAAAGACGTCTAGCAATCGCGTGCACTTATTCCGGTTGCAAGTACTCATTATAGATGGAAGCCTCCCAGTTTTGAGAAATATATTCGACCAGGCCCTGACTGATCAAGGCATAACTCTAAGTGAATGCTTGAAACAAGAAAAGTCAACAATAGACCGTCTGAAAGGCCGCGTTATAACTCCTGTTCAATATGACATATTGTTTCCGGCTTGTGGTAAAGACCCAACCACGTCAGATATGGACATCACGCTTATCATTTGTCTTCTAAGGAACCTGAAATGTTTCGGTTTGAAAACAAAGACATTTAACTGGAACGCAACACCTTTACCAACTGATGTAACACTTGAGGCAGATCTTTGTCGATTAAAGGCTTCCCGAAATAATGTAAGTGTGGTAATGAAATTAAATCTGTCATTTTATTTAAGCTTTCATGAATGTTTTAACATTTTATAAATTTAATGTTAAAAACCACAAAAGATATTATATTTCACAAAATGCAAAAAAAAAAAAAAACAAAAAAAAACTCACACACACCACACTCCTTTGAGAACATATTTGATAGCATGATCTTTCGTGTACGTTATCTCGACAAGAATTTATTAAGTATGATTAATTGATAAAATGTTATTTTCAATCTTATAAATTTTTAAACTACATAATGATGAAACGTTAATTTTTATCAGATTTTCGTCTGTATGGGACATATCTCTTAAGGGGTATAAACTTGAAAGGTGGATATATCTAAGTAAAGGGTAAATGCACCCTATTCCGTGCATTGATATTTGCAGAAACACAGGAGAGCGCATTTTAGCTACAAGCCCGCAGAGCGAGGGGTTTAAGAAATTCGAGAGCTTGTGCAGATAAAGGTGCCTTAGGCCTATTCTTGCATACAACTATACATCAAAATCGATGATTCCGCGTTCGTTATCTCTATTTCCTATAAAAACATTTTTGTACCATGCTCTCCACGTGCTAGTGCAATGTCATTCGACAGTAATGCTTTGATAAAAAAAAACCTACCGGGCCGTCTTTGCATAAAGCTGTTGCTAAGTCACGCTTTTTAAAATCGCGCAACAACAGCACGTGGTCACGAGAATCACTTAATACTTGTTTGTATACCTGCGTGTGCAGTTTGTATTCAAGAATGAAGATTAATGCACAATAGTTCAAGATCAGTAACATTTTTACATTTATTTATACCTGTAAGTTGTTTAGGAAATATTTCAGAGGAAAAGTTCTGTGTCAAAGCACTATAACTTATTATTGCCAAGGCATTGACAATTTGAGTTCTCATTTCAGATCAGTCATATATCGACAACAACTGGAATGCAACCCGGTGAATTTACAACTTGGTGGAATGATATCGAACAGGTAAGCACTTTGATTGAAACATTGTTTACCATCTGTAGGACCTTTCAAGCTATATTTCTTTTACAAAACTGAGAAACAGAGTATCATTTCATATTAATTATCTAAAGGGTCCGTCACACCATGACGTTCTGGTCAACGCTCTCAGAACGTTTCAATCGTTCAATTTTTGAATGTTCTTGAATGAGTTCGACGCATCTAGCGTGTAATTAACGTGCGTCTAATGCATAACTTGCGTGTGTCTACGGCACGAGAAGCGTGTAACAGCGACCAAATAAAATACGTCTGAAACCCATAAGCGTGTGCTAACGTGTCACTGGCGCGGGGCGACAAACGTTGTGTGTGACTAACGAGTGAATAACGACAGACAAGCATCTTGATAGCGTGTTATTTTAATGGCTAAACGGGTAAAAAACGCTGAAAATTTCAAAGTGAATTTAGTTAATCTTGTAAGTTTGAATAGTCAGCGTCATGACGCTATGTAAAAAAAGATTGGGGTGAGGGCTTCTCCTACTAGCTACATTTGTTTTTCCAAATCATTGATGTCTTTATAGCTATGATTTAGTCCAGTCGGGGTCTTCTTCTGTGTGGATAAATGTCGGGGCCTTCTCTGCGGATGAATTCCCTCGATATGTTCAGCTTTGTTCAGTACATCTACTTGATGCTTGGCTACAGCAAACATATATAGCCTACTAAATCTTTCAGGATCTTCAAAGTAGGTGTTCTCTAAGATAGCCCAAAATCAAACCTTGTGAAACGGTCGAATGACGCTCAAATGAAGCTCAAGTGACTCCCAAACGTTCGTTTATCTTTAGTCACACGTTTTGTGCGCTTAAAAACCGTTTAGCGGTCGTTGACAGCTCGCCAGTGAGTCGCCAGTGAGTTGTTCACTACAAAGCAAACAATTAGCAACAACCAAGTAGCGAATGAGAAACGACTGACTAACGATAGCCGGACGTGTGCAATGCTAAACGAAAATTAGTAAAACGTTCCATGAACGTTCTTAAACTTTCTTCAGCGTTTAAAATTTAAACGTTGAAGAACGCTGGTCCGAGTGAGAAGTTTTGTGCATGTTTTTTTTCCGAACCACCAGCGTTCTACGTCGATTACCGGCGATTACTAATGTTCACTGGCGTTCACAGGAACGTTCTTCTGGTGTTATTCCAGCAACCATGGGCGACTATCAACGTTCCCTCAAACGTCATGAACGTTGAACGCTGAACAGAGCGTCTTGCTGTGACGGCACCATAAGACGGCATATTAAATATGTAATGCCTGTAAACATGAATAGGGCATAAAACTATATATAATGAAATATTTTCATAACTTCTAATAAATATGTCGGCTTATTTGTGCCATGTCGTGTTTTCTCTTCGCTTGGCGCCAGGCGAAAACACGGAAATATGATAAAGTGATCACTTTGTCGTATTTTTTTACTTCTATATGTAATGACTAACAACTGCTATTTACTTTGAAGACATTTTTATCAGCTCAAGAACATGTAATTTCCAAACCGATACTTTCCCATATTTTGCAACTATCAGAACTCCTCAGGTTTTGATGTTCATGTTCGGTCAACAACCATATCATTCATTAAGGGGTTTTAAAATTACTTTGCATAAAAGCGCTGTATCTAAAGACACTGCATGTGTTGTTTGCAAGAATTAAGTCCCCAGCTCAAATTTCAAGGTCGAAAGTCATGGTTAAGAAAACTTTTCACAAACAAAAGCTTGTTTGTCAGTTAGAAAGGTTGTGGTTTTACATGTGCTTGGTTGTCAAAAAAGTACACCGTTGGCTTTGTTTGTTTATATTTTGTCCTTCATTTTTCATGCTTTTTTAAATAATAGCGCCCACTACAGAAACCATGCATTCGTTGGAATGAAAAGGTCGTGTTCCTTAACATGGCCAAGCTGTGATGAACTTCAAAAATAAATGTCTTGCTAATCTAAAGTTAGAAAAAATTCAAACTTCCTTTTTAGATACTTGTTCGACTAAGTTCTCCAGCTCTGAATATTCGGAAAATAATTGAAGATATAAAAACTTGCCCTCTTGATCCGGAGGAAGATAAAAGGATACAGGAAGAAATAGAAAAGTGGAAGAAATATGAAGCAGATGTTGATCGATTGAAAGAGGACATGACAGAGGTAAAGGCTGATATCGAGGAACTGAAAAGGGGACAAATTGCAGGTTTGTGATAGAGTGAGCTATTCGAAATATAATATATGTAATAAAGAGAAATGTCTTTACATGCAATGTTTACATACAACCCCGGTGACATCAAAATTATCGCTTTAATCATTGCCACCATATCATGTTTTTATACAATTATTTTATTTAGGACAAGAAAAGTATACAACAAAAATATATAATAATGATATTAACCAATTTTATAATATCATTTCATTTTATTAGGTAACTTTTCCGTACAGACAGAGGAGGAAAAATATCAAAATCGCAAGAAGAGTAAGTAAATTTGGCTAAATGTTTATATTCAACAACATATATTCATTGCAAATAAACCTGTAAGTTTTTACTATTGAAAATGTTATGGTATATATGTTCAGCGAACATTGTATGCGGGAAGACTGTACTGAATAACTTTAAAATAACTTGGTACAAATGTCCAGCACATAAAGACAACATGTCGCGACAAGACCCATGTCGCTACCTTAAAGGTTTAGTTCACCCTTTTAAACATTTTGGTGTCATTGGTCACTTTTGCGTGACAGCTCTTGTTGGTTACTGAATAGCGTTTCACTATTTCATGTTTCGAAAAAAAGTAACCACTATTTTAAGTGTGATTAAAAAGATGTATATATAACAATGGTGCTATATCATCACAAATATTATAAAGAATTCGGCATTCAGACCATCAAAACCAGCACTTTTTTCAACGGATGTTTTGGCAATAACATTGCTAACTTCTTCTATAGTTATCTTGGCATTTAAATATAAATCTTCCTCATCTTCAGTTTCATAACTTCTGGTAGAGCCTACGCAATCATTGAATACAAGACATTCAAATAAGCAACCACTCAATATAGGCTATGTTACTACGCGTAACGCTAGGTTTCTTTTTTACTTTTTTCAAGGCTTTCCATAATTCATCTACATTTGTACAGCATTCAATCTTCTTTTTTTTGCGCTGCTGAACTTGTTAGGCATATTTCTTTAAATGATTTTATAATCATGCTGATACTGTTTTTTTGATTGTGTATTTCTTTACTATCTATTTTAAAGGTATTCGGCGGCGTAAAATGGTGTAAATTATTTACTAGTCTAAGCGACTAATCTTAGTGATTTGCGAACAGGCATTCCATTACCTTGAATTCCTTAGTCCATCTAAAGTCAATTAATTCTAGGAGGCTTGTAGAAGGTTAAGCAATATTTAAAAATACATCACACAAGTACCATTCAAGCGAACTTTATATACGTCTTGTTTTCACTCTATACGATGTTTGACAAATCCGTTAAGTTATTGATATGAATATTGAAGAAAACTGCCTTACAAAAACACATAAATAAACAAACGTTATTGACTTTTGCAAAAACACAAGCATTGCCAAACTTTATCAGTAAGCGTGTTAAAACTTGAAAAGAGGGGAAAAGCATCAATTCCCTACTCACTCTCATTTCAGAACTTCAAAGCGACTTGAATAAATTCTACAGAAACAAATGCAGTTCAATACCTCTCTCACCGCTTTTTGATGAAATAGAGACACCTTTAGCTGGGTTTTATGTGATGCCAGATATGGTCGCCGTTGAGCAGGAGTCTTATACAAGTGACAAAGAAATACGAACCCCAATCGATTCTTTGAAGAGTCTGTTTTCAAACGAAAGTGAAGATCAGCAAGAAATATATTTATCAGCTGATGCAGGTTTTGGAAAAACTGCTTTCTCAAAATATCTTGCAATCACGTGGTGTCAAGCTCATCGCCAAGACAAAAACTGCAAACGTTTTAAAGATGAGGAGCTAAAAGCTTTATCTGACTTTGATTTCTTATTTTTAGTTTTATTAAGAGATTGTTCCACAGTTTGTAATATTGACGAAATGATTGAACAGCAAATCACCAACAGACTTCCACCGTCAGCATCAGTAGAAGAGGTTTTATGTAGGGAAAAGTGTTTGATTATATTGGACGGTCTTGATGAATGGACTCACCCTGATAACGGCTGTAGCGACATTTCAGAAAAAATACCACATCGGTACGTACGTGATAATTGTGTTGTCCTAACTACTACTCGTCCATGGAAGCTTGGAGTTTCAAATCTGAAAACAAGTGAAATAACAAAAAAAGTCGAGTTGGTTCAACTTACTACAGAATCTAGGCGCAGTCTAGAAAGAAATGCTATAAGTAAAATGACCGGTATCCATGATGACGAAATATTGTCGAGTAAAATATTGGAATTGAATGACGTAATACGTGACCGAGGCCTTAAGCACATGCGAACAATTCCACTTCTTCTCATGTATATCATATGTTTATGGTGTAATAAAATTCCTGTAGGAAATTCCAAATATGAAGTTTACACCAATATCATTGAATTTCTATTATCAAGAGCAGCAAAGAAACATCCAAAGGTAAAATCGTCTAGTGAAGCTTTTGCCAGTGATAGACCAGTATTCTTCTTGAACCATGAATTTTGTAAAACGTTTTACTCTCTTCTAACATCATTAGCGGATCTAGCTTATCAAACATTATTCAATGTTGCAAGGGAAAACACGTTGATATTTGACCGATCGGTTGCTGAAAACTACCTCAAAGCAGACGACATGCAATTTAGTCTAGTCTCAGGAATATTGTCAGAAAGTAGAGCTAGAACTTTAACAAAAGAAATCAGTAAAGTATCGTTTGCACACAAAACTGTTCATGAATTCTTTGCCTTCATATTTATAAGTTTGCAAAGTGATGCTCAGAAAATTGTTCTAGAAAAATGTAAGAGTGTTCAAGACATTCTTAACATGTCGGTCATATTTGAATTTATAAGTGAAATGAATGCTGACCTGATGTTTGCAATATCAAATGATTTAATGTCTGTGATAAATGGAGATGAAGTAACACATATCTATAGAACTAGGACAGGTGTCGAGTACATGTCAAATAATCCACTGTACAATATACAGAACATGTTCATATCGTATTTAAAAGAAAAGCCTGAAAGTGAAAATATGCAATTAAGTTTGCAAGACGTTTTCATTTCCAGGAAAAATGACCACAATGAGCAGTTACAACGTTTGTCAAAACAAAATAAAACCAACATAAAATCACTTCAAATAAACACCTACAATACTTCCACCAGTTTACGTGAACTTGTCGAGCTATTTTCCCTCAAAGACTTAAGTCATATCCAGAAATCATACTATTATGGTAGATGGAAGAAGAAAGCTGAGATAAGATTGTTGCTATTTCCCAGTGTACAAAGTGTAACGCTGTCGTGGGGTGAATGGACAGAAAATGATACAGAGAATCTGGGTGAAAATTTTGCGCAATTACAAAATTTGCAGTGTTTACATATTCAATGGTTCAGGTTGTCTCACAAAATACTTGAAATAATTTTCAAGTCTATCCAGGATAAAAAGTCAATGAAGGCATTAACATTTAACGAGTTATTCTGTAAAGAGCACCGCCGCCGTGAGTGTAAGGGATTGAACTTGGATTTGTCTAAACATTTAAATCTAAAGAAGTTATACTTAGAGCGGTTACCTACGTTACTACTAAATACCACAACACCGACGTTAATAAATGTTGAGTTGCGAGGAATCATTCTAGATGAAAATTCATTGTTGCTGTCAGCTGTCATGTTGAATATTGAACGCGTGAAGCTTTGGGAGATAGAAATGCCTGCAGGGTGTTTAAATAACTTTATTGCCGAGCTGGAAAATCTTCCGCAGTTAGTCACAGTAGAAATGTACGATATTATACCGGAAACAGAATATACATGTGTTAGAGAACATATTCGGAGTTCTAAAGCATTTGATGTGACAGCAGACGACCACTACATGGTGTTTGAGTTCAAAACAAGAAAAACAAGTGAAGAATAGACAAGGAAGTAAACAAGGTATGGAAGTGGCTCATTTAGACAGGTAGCGTACGGTGAAAATACCAATATTTTTTTTACAAGAAACTAAACAAAAGATCAAATATCAAACTGTTGTATTTGATTAGTACTTTTAATTATGAGACGATGTCAAATCGTAAATATGTAATTTAGATGACCTACAGAAGGTTGTTGGATCTACTCGGATATCCGTCCATGCCGAAATATGTAATTCAAATGACAATTTCCATTATCACCGCCGTATGAACACATTTGCGGATGTTTGTCATTTCTAAATTTTACTATTTCATGTTAAAATTTAATTTCGGCTTAAGCCCCTTGCAATGAAATAATTTAATTTAAATTTCTGACCGCTTGTGTTTGAAATAAAACAATTAAGTTGGCTTATAAGATTGATGGATCTTCTCCAGAGTCGGACTGCACCTAAAATATTGCCATTCATATGAGTTAGAGAAGACCGGTGTATCTTTTTGGATTTCCAGTCGTGTCTACCTTAATCAATTCAGTTGCATTTTGAAGTATTAGCATTCTAGGAATCCGCTCTAGATAGAAACATCACGAGCAAATGTGAAATGTCATCGTATGCCTAAACAATGTAGGTTCTATTTAAAATAAGTTCTTTTAATATACAAAGGTGCTTGGTTTTTATTTGCGCTAAGAGCAATAATTATGTTTTTGATTTATTAATGTTTTCTTTTTTGCAGAAGATCAGCTACAGTTAATCTTTAGGGACAATGTTAAATTTTCTTCTACGAGAGTTCAATAGAATGGATTAACTCCTGGCTTCGTGTTCACAATGGAAAAAAATCAAAACAAAATAAGGGCCGAATGGTTCTGATTATACTTTTATTGTTTTATGGATGCTAATTGATCATGTTAGATTACAATTAATTAGTTTATTAGCATAAATGCTGACTTGAAAAGAAATAACCTTATTTTGAGATAAAATTGAGGAATATCAATCTTTAAATCGTACCTTGCAAAACGGAAAAAGGGCACCAAAGGGTACCGCTTAGAAACATGTTGCCTTACCGGTTTTTGTTTTACATGGTTTCAGTTCCAAGCTTAACATTAACATACAAGGAGGAAGAGATAAAACTAACTTTTGCATCACATGCTTCTTGTATTTGTTTTTACGCAATGATTTGATTGATATCTACAAGGAAAGTTATACAAAGTCTACTATCAAAATTAAAGAGATCCTGCAATGCAATACAATGCAGTCAATAATTAAGACATTTCCAGACATTCACACAAATGAAACTTTTATATGAATATTTATTATATTTAGATATAACACTTTTTCTGTGTTTTAAGAACAAGATAATCAAGCAAAAATGGTAAGAAAAAATAGTCTATATTTCAGATGATTGTCAATTCTGAAAACAAAATCATATTTATGTACATAGATTTATAGCCTTGAATATGAGGAAGCTAGTCAGGTTTGAACTCTGAGTATTATTTTGATGTTTGTGATACTTTTACGCTTACATTTTATTAACTATTTTACTGCACATGCCAGCATTAGTGTCACATGTGAAACTTGAAAGGTTGTACTGTATATAAAAATCAACGAACAAATGTGTGCATCTTCTGTTTAATTTTTAAGTTTTTGTATCTTTATTTTGATTTGTATATTTTTCACGATATATATGTATATAGTTATAGTATATGGATATTCAAATTTATTTTTATAAATGCTGGATTTATTTTCATCGAGTGATATGAAAATATATATTTTATGAGTGACGGTAGCCACGAGTAAAATATGGTAATTTTTATACCACAAGATGAAAATAAATCCAGTATTTATAGAAAAAGTCTTGATTTTTTTTATTATTTACATTTTTCTCTTTTTTGACATTACAACTTGAAAGCTTTCCCCTGAAATTTTGTGTATAGGTTAAACTTAGAAGAGAGTAGTCCGGTAAGAAACCCATGAAAATGAATGTAGAAAATATGTTTCACTGCAATGAAAAATAACCTTTACAATGAAAATATGGAAAATGGAAAAACTCATTTTAGTTCATCAATATTTCTCAATAATATATTCATAAATATGTAATAAAAAGGATTATTTCAGAGTAAGAGTAGGAGATCATGATTTTGAACAAATGTATAAATCTATGTAGTCAAGGATCTCACGAGGCTCGGGGCGCCGAGTAGAATTATTGAGAGCCAAAAACAAGAAATAGGCCAATACACTTTTACATTTACAATTTTATCAATTTTTGCCTAAACCATAGATTTTTCGTAATTCCATGACGTTATCAACATCATATCATATAACAGTTTTAACAAATATAAATTTCGTATTTGCTTGGATTTAATTTTGTCATTTCATGCAGTTATTACAGCATAATATGTACAGGTATATACTTACGATGTTTACAACAGTTACTATGTATATAGATTCTATGTTAGTGTTCATCCGTGATGTCCTTAGAAACTTCGACGGGAGCGTTAGCGACAGGAACAGCTACGGATGAATACTAACATAATTTGTGTAAAGCTTTATTTGGTTTCATAGATATTCACTTTATTATACGGCGCTACATGTTTATTTTACGAACGCGGTTCTATTACGCACTATGAAAAATAGAAGGTTTGATATAGATCTAGTATCAACTTTTGTTCTTTCTATGAAAATTAACACAAGAAATGCAGCGTTTTCATTGGATGACAAATAAAGCTGGACACTAAATAATAAAATTATCATTTGATCTTGAAGTTTCTGTATACATCATATTTGTCACATTATTTTGTTTATATCCATCAATTCCGAAAGATGAAAATTTAATATCAGCACGTTACTACATTCTATGGTGTTCTAGTATTATGACGTCAAAGTGACATCATTTTAAGACAACATGTTTTAAGACAAAATGATATTCACTATAATTGTACATAGTCCATGACATTTATGCATTATCTACGTATATGTTTGAGTAATTGAATATTTTATTATCAAGTATGATAAAATATTGTTATTTATTCACAATATTTCAAATTTTTACGTACTTCTTGGTGCAATTAAGGCGCCTTGCCTTAGATTAATATATGAACCATTTTTTACTATTACAAAAAGTAGCATAATGGTATCATGTGAAAATAATAAGCATAAGTTAAAATGAAATACTTGCTCGCATAATATCAATGCATTTATGTATAAAATGCTCTTAAACTTATTAAAGGACCAGTTCATGAGATTATTTTCTTTGAAAATTGAATGGGTTTTTTTAATAAAAAAAGCTTATTTTTATTTGATTTAAAGATAGAAAATATGTATTTAGTGTGCTTATAGTGTTGATAGACTACAGTATACGTAGTTTTCTTATGTATGGTTGTGTACATCTGACAAAGCTCGTGATTTTCATTGTGTTTAAACTGTTAACACCACCTGTTCTCATTTAATATATATCAATCAGTTATTTGTGATAATTTGAAAAAGATATTTGAAGACAAGATATTTTCATAAAACATGTAATGTTATTATGATAAGAATCATGGAAATCATGAAGATGATGAAGATGTAAGCTTTGTTGAAGCAAGTGCTTTTCCTTTGCCACCATTGTAAACCAAGGCCAGTCTGCACATCCATAGAATGTGACCAGGGTATTTACTGTGGGCAGATTAAGTTTATGGTTCCCGATTGGAGAGCATACAATCGCCTCTTTGTCCGTCCGTCCGCATTTTCTTGTCCGGGACATTACTATTAAACTACAAAGTGGTATCAACAAGGAACTTTGTATGTAGATAGATCTTAATGAGTAGATGTTCAGTGCATAGGAATCGTAACACTGCCTATATATCTCATTTAGAAGAACCGTTACCCTGCCTTGCCTACTTTTGAAATTATTGTCCTTCTTCATTTTTACACTTTGAACTTTGTCTTGGACATAAGTCTGTATCAACAAGAAACTACTTCTCTGTGTCCAAAAAATATTCGGGGAGCATCACCCATTTTGACCGGCTCTTGTTGTATTTTGGTAGCAAAATTCCTTTTAACTTTGTATGGACCAATAATACAAATTCAGTAGGTTAAGGTTTAAAGCATAATTTTATCACAGGAGCTTACCATATTGTATCATTGTTGTAAAAATAATAATAAAGTACAGTACTAAGAATTATTAGTATAGTTCTGTATATGTTAACACATCTTATTGTTTAAGAAAAATCTTTCTTGTATAATGTCTATAAAATATTCAAAATCATATTTCTTTACAATGAAAATATTATGAAAATAAAACTTTAAAATTGAAATATTGTTTCAAGTCATTTAAGATCTTTAAATGGTGGCATCTACTCAGTGATCTTTGCTCTGTGTCTTACTGGAAAATAATCATGTTGTGGCATTAATACTGGGTAATCAAAAAAAAATTTACTACTCTTACTAAAGTAACTTTGCAAATAAGATAACAATGCTTGGCTGATGGTGGCCAAGAAGTTAAGTTGGTCGACTTCAAACCAATTGCACCAGTGTACGTTTGAATCCCGACAGCGACTTCTTTCATGTGAGGAAGCTATTCATCCAGCTTAAAAAATGGAACGTAATTGGTTCTACGAAGGTGCCCGTTCGTTCCTAAAATAATGCACGGAGGAGCACTTGTGGTCTTTCTCCACTAGTAAAGCTGGAAAGTTAGTTGTCAGATGACATGTACAGTGTTGGATTGACGTAAAACCCAACAAAAAACTAATATGAAATTCAAATAATAAACTGATAGGAAAAACATCACAAGAAAGCGTGTGCCTAACTTATCATTGCATAATCCCAGTATATGTGAGTTGGGAGTCTGATTTATATAGATATAGTTATGAATACATCGACACAGAAGGTATTTGCGGTATATGGGTGGTTGCATTAAAAAAATGTAAAATGTAGGAATCAAAACTGTATATGTGGCTTCATTATGAAAGTACGGTATCAAAACAGGTGGCTGGCCTGTTCATGGCTGAAATAATGCATGAAAGGTAACTGAGGTCTTCCTCCTCTACCTGTAAAATTGGAAATTCGCAATATAACCTTTACAGCGTTTGCGCGACGTGACCCCCATTCCTACCCATCGATACTAGGACCGTAGAACACCTTGTCTTCCGTTTATTCATTATCTTTGCTAAAGTAATGATATATTAAGAACAAAATACAAGGAATAATACGTTTCAAGATAGCGAGGGCATCTGGAAGGATGCTTTGGCAATTAAGGCTACTCCATGTTAACGTATAAATGCGATAGTCATAATCAAATACTTGTACATCTGTGTTTGTTGTTTGGCCAACCGACATCGAAAATGTAGAAAGATATATGACATTTTCAACTACACCGCTTGGCTTCGAGGGAATATAAAACGTGTAAATGAAATTTTGTCACAACAGAAAGGTATGTTTATAGCTATCTAATAGTTATCCAACCGAGGAAATTGTGTAGTGAAAAAAGAACCTAATTGACACATTGCAAACGGCATTTACAATCCACGTAAATAGCAAAAAAAGAAGCCAAACATGCAAATATAACCCATTCTGTATAAAATGCGAATTATTACTATAATCTTGAATCTTTTACCTTTCTTAAAATCTAAGAACATTTTTCTCAAGTTTGATTTTCTTGAAATATTTTGGCTCAGTAAGATGGATGCAGCTAGAAGCCGGGAATAGACGGTTGTTTCACTTGTACCGTTCAAGAACATGCTCAATCAAACAAAGACTGCAACTTTTTTTCAGTTTTGATGTTTTGAGTGACCCTAAGGGTTTCCCTTTTCTTATTCTAAATTATACTTTGATCTAGTACAACCTAAGCAACAAAAATATACAAGCAGTCTTTTCCTATGGAGCGTCCGATGCCAAGGAGTTAAGGTCGTTGACCTTAAACCACCTGCTCCTCGCCGCTGTTGGTTTGAATTAAGACAGGGACTTTGGATTCTTTCATGTGAGGAAGCTATCCAGCTTGCTTACGGAACGTCGGTGGTTCTACTCAGGTGCCCGTTCGTTCCCGAAATAATGCAAGGAGGAGCACCTGTGGTATTCTTCCAACAATAAAGCTTAAAACTCGATATATGACCTCTACCGTGTGAGTGTGACGTAAAACCTAACCAAAATAAAATAAAACAACTGTATAACAAAATAAAAAATCATGAATACCTTTAAGTCTTTTTTGATTCATGAAGGAGCGAATCATGGTAGAAAATTTCCCGTCATTGAATCAATCAGAAGGTTAAGTTACTTTCGACAGTTGTTTAAGCATTTATAACTTTTAAGAACTACGTACACATGCCTAAATGAGTGACCACAATGTAATAGATGATATAATAACAATGAGATTCAGATTTACTAGTATTCAAAATTATTTATTTAACTTCTTTCACAATACAAGAACAAATGAGGTTAACATAGGCAATACTTATTACAAGCTTATTTACATAACAACCCAATCTTACTTCTCAACATCCTTGTAAGATGTTGATTGAATTTTACAATTTTGCCATTTTCTTTACATTTCTTTTGTTTGCAAGAAATTTTGAATTTTAATTTGTAACGTTGTAAGGTTTGCTTTTACGTGGTTAATTCCTTAATATGAGTTGTTGCAGCTTTTTTTGTTTGATTAATAAACTGTCGGACGTATATAAAAGTGATAGAAAGGGCATCGGAACACGAGGCTATCTGGTGTGTGCGAGGGGGCCATAGCCTCCGAGTATAAATCAGATTGCCGATTGTTTTGATGTTCTTTCTTTTTTGTATCATAGGCAAAAATAAAAACACGTTCCTTTTTTCACAATATGAAACCCCAGATAAAAGGTAACCAGTGAAGCATCTGGATATGATATTTCTATCGCTATCCATTTCTCTGTCGTCACAATATGTAAACCCAAGACAAAATGAGCCAATAAATGGACATGCTTTTGAGTGCGGGTAACTAAACCTGCACTCCAGTTAACGCACTGTACATGTTTATGTATATGATTTAACTCTGACACATTTTCAACCGAAAGGTCCCCAAACTATGATATAACGTATTCTTTATTTATATTTTCAAATTACCGGTAACTTCCATATTGGGCCTTGTCACATGATGTTGTTAAATCAGTGTGATAAGATAATGTACAAAAACAGAACAGTAAATAGAACAAACAAAAGAAACAAAACAATTAGAAACAGGAGAGAGTCATACTCTATTAAACCCCTGCGGAGCAAGAGATAATATAATAGCATCATATTTACAAGATGACGAATATATACAAACTTACGTGTAAGTTACTATTGAACAATGTCACTGAGATATAAATAGCTATTTGCAGATTTAGTAAATCATTTATGACACTGGTCAGTCACTTTACATCTAAAGATGTTTATCACAATCTTTGATCTTAATTCAATGTTCAATTAAGTCCACGGTATATGTATTACATGTACTTTTATTTGTCAGTAAACAATAGTTTTTGGGTATTTAAGCTTTATCTTTTTTCAAACTATTGTACACAGTTCATCACAATCCGTTCATCTTTAAAACAAACTTTAAACTAAACCTAGCAAAAGTGATAAACATGTATGAAGTCATCATTTTTACAGCTGATTACCACATAACCCCTTTTGCCGTTAACTGATAATGACTGCTGATC